TTGCAAAACATTTAGAGTTTTTATAACCCCCTTGAAGTCTAGAACATGAGCTAGCTAAGTCTGAGAATCACAAGAGCAAAAACAATGTAAGAGGTGGGTAAGTGTGCCCATATTAGGAAAAGGTGCTGTCACTCAATAGTCTTTCAGACCTCCTGCAAACATTCACATGATTTACCATCAGTGTTGCCAACTTGTACAATGAAGGGCAGCGTATAACAGCTATACCTCTATTATCATAAATATTCATTTAAATATTCTAAATATTTATTGAGAGGACTTAGGTTTTTACTCAGTGAAACCAGAAGTTACTGGAGGGATTTGATTTAAGATAAATTCTTTAAAAGATCACTCTGGATGCTGTGCTGAATATAGCCTGTACTAGTTTGGAATTTATCCCTGTAAGGCAGGTAAAAGTTGATAGTTGATGGATTCAACATGGTCTCTCTGAAGGTGGTTAGAGGTGGTAAGATTCTAGGATATATTTTAAAGGCAGAGCTAACAGTATTTCATGACAAATTCTCACATATAAGAAAGAACAGAAATGAATGGAGATTTCAAGTTTTAAGCTTTATGAATTCTGAGAATGAATGCGTTTTCCAGTCCTTTTTTTCTACTGTTCTACATAAGAATTAAAATATTTTGTTCATTAATAGCTCATCCTAAGGCAAAAGTTATACCTTTGAGCAATTTATAATCAGAACTTACTATTGGGATGTAAAACATTGTTTCTATATTCCTTTTAATTTTAGTTTTGCCTAATTCAGCACTTTACAATTAGGAGATGAAGCTGTATTTTAAAATGTCACTGAGCAATTTTAAGATTATATAATAATGTTTTCCTTCTCATCTGAAAATTTTACTATTGCTCAACATGGAGAATGTCCTTCACATTTTAGCTTTTAGAGCATAGGAAGTCGATATGTATTGGTAAGCAGGTATTACATTCAGGGAGTGCTTTGTCATTTTTTTGACATGCTTTGACATGTCATGTCATCCCACTCTTGTCATAGAACTGGGAGACAGGTGAGAAGGAAATATGTGTAGGAAATTGAAGAGTTTAAGTGACTGAGTGGCCAACATGGTAACTCCTTCTTTCCCATTCACTAATGTATTTTGATCCAGCTCCAACTGATGGAGAAAAACTGGGAGCTTGGAGTGCCCCATGCTCACTGAAAGCTAAATGTCTCATACAATGACCCAAATTTGACCTTATCTTTATTGTTAATGCCTCAGAATTGGATAAACAAATCACTTTATTCATCGGACTTAATCACATCACCAGAATCATCTAGTCATGTTACCCTCCATTTTCTTGCAAACTCACAAAAAAATAAAAAAATAAAAAAATTTTGTATTTCCTCACCTATGCCATCTTTCTATTTTCTCATCTATGCCATCTTTCTTGTTTTTTTTTTTTTTTTGAGACGGAGTCTGGCTCTGGTACCTAGGCTGGAGTGTGCAGTGGGAGTGATCTCCACTCATTGCAAGCTCCACCTCCTGGGTTCACGTGATTCTCCTGCCTCAGCCTCCCGAGTAGCTGGGACTACAGGCACCCGCCACCACGCCCAGCTAATTTTTTGTATTTTTAGTAGAGACGGGGTTTCACCCTGTTAGCCAGGATAGTCTTGATCTCCTGACGTCATGATCCGCCCGCCTCGGCCTCCCAAAGTGCTGGGATTACAGCGGTCAGCCACTGCACCCGGCCACTTAATTTTTGTTTGTTTGTTTAATTAAGGAAGCTCACTCACAGCTTTCCTGGCCTCTCTCCAAAGACTAAAATTTGTTTTGTGAATTGCGATCAAAGAAATACAAAAAGTAACAATGATCTCATCAGTAGATATGAAAATGCAAGAAGAAAGATGCTGTTGTAAAACTCAACAAGGTGTGGTGGTAGATAGATCTCTTTCTTTTTCTTGTTGTTAAATCCTGAAGCTATCAAACAATAACTTACCTTATTGACAAGGGTCTGGTGGAAAATCTAATGAGCATTAGTAATGAATGCATCAGCAACAATCCCCTTGACTTTAGTGCACTCATCTTTTAATCTTTGACCCAGCTGCTGCAAGCACCTGGTTCCCAAAATTCAGTTAGGAAAATACAATGGAAATAATAATAATAATAATAATAATAATAATAATAATACTGCAATGTCTTTCTTTTCTTTAAGCCATGCAAGTAATTTATACCAATTCCTTTTCAGAGGCAGAAATGAAGTCTGTTTTTGTATTTAAAGATAATCTCAGCATATCTGACAATCCTGGGCAGTTATGGGGGTGGTGAAGGAAGGGAAGCAAAGTCGTTTGAGAAAGTAAAGACATTAAGACATTCAACTGCCAACGAAGAATAAATTTTAACGGATGTAGGAAGAATCGTTTGTAAAAAGTGCAGACAAATGCAAAATGGTATTATTAATAAGTAACATCATTAGAGGCCGTTCTTTCTAACCACTCACACCTCTGAATCATCACGGGGTTCCCTGACTTCCTAGCTCTCTCTACCCTCCAGCAGTGACGCCCCTTCTCCCAATCATTGTCAGGGATTTAAGTGCCATAGTCAAAGAGAACCTTATTATCTACCTGCTCCCCCAGCTTCTCTCTGAGTGACACACCACCCACGCCTCCCCCGCACAGCTTTCCTCCTCCCATGGCTCTCAGAAGGAATGTGAGGAGCAGGAGAGGGAGCCCAAGGCTACCCTCGCCTGAACCCCCAAAAGACGAGGCTTTAAGACCCTTATTCACCCACTGAGTCTATGCCTTGGCGGTTCTGCCAACCCCCGCCGCGCGCTGCGGGAGTGTAAGCCAGTCCTGCGCTGCGCTTCCAGCTGCGTCTGCCCGAGCGCGGCACGTGCTCCCGGCGCTGGCGCGAGAGAGCGAGCGCCACCGCCGCGGGCCCCGCAGCCGTTCTGCCTGCTGTCACCGCTGCCTCCATCGCCGACACTAGCGCTCCAGCTGCAGCCAAGGCCGCTACGAGAGCGCAGAAAGCCCTCGAGGAGCGGCTGCCTGGGGGCGCAAGGCTCAGGGCGCGCACCTGGTAAGCACAGCGCCTTTTTCTTTCTCTTAGCTGTAGTTACCACGGATATAGGATACCGCTGGAGCCCCTCCCCCAGTGCAGGGATGGAGAGCGATCAGGAGAGGGGCGGGAGCTGGGGCTTAAAAGACCCAGGAGGGCAGGTGGTGGGCAGGTGGAGGACTGGTGGAGCCAGGAACGCTAGGAGGTCCTGCAAGTTTAGAAAAGTCACCCTGCAAGGACGTGTGCTGTGTGAATCAGACATAAATTTAAGTCAGGAGCCTGGGCTACCGCGGCATAGCTCCAATGGGAGGTTTATGAAGATCATTTTGCTTTTATTTGCATAAGTGAGGGATTTAAGTGGGCTTGTTTCCATAGAAAACGAACTAAAAAAAAATCAGAGGAGGAAAAAATAAAGATCCGAGCCAAAGGATACGTTTGGATCTCTCTCTCTCTCTCTCTCTCTCTCTCTCTGTGTGTGTGTGTGTGTGTGTGTGTGTGTCTGTCATACCGATACATGTGCACGAAAGGCATGGATTTAGGAAGGGAGAGGGGCTCCTCTATCTTTGAGCCCATTAGGTGTTTGGGGGAGCTAATAAGAGCAGTTGCTGGTGCTTCACCCCAAAAAGAGGCAGAGAAGAAGGGACCCTATTGGGTGTAAATGTCAGTGTTCCATTTCTAAAAGGACTACAGTACTAGGAGGGAGAGGTTTTCTAGAACTGTGGGTCATGTAAAGATGGTACACCTGCAACTCTGGACCTATAAACTCAAGTTCATATACTCCCAGTGGAGCCGGGAAGACATGTTTACTCTTCGTGCCTGTATGGAACTTTGACAGAGGATAATCTCACACACACACACACACACACACACACACACACACAGAGAGAGAGAGAGAGAGAGAGAGATAATGAAAGAACGAAATAAATGAATAGAGGGAGGAGAAGGGAGCTGAATATGACTGAATAGGCTGAGTGGGGTAGTAGAAAGAACAAGAACAGGGTGATAGGGTTTGGCATCACTGCGTTCATTCATTTCTACCCTAGGTAGTTCCTGGACTAATCTCTAGAAAAACATGACCTTGAACAAGCCCCTTAACCTTCATGTACTCAATTTCTCTACTGAACAATGTAGAGGATATTCTGCATTTCGGGACATGAAGGTCCCATGCAGTAGTGTTGATGTATGTGTTTGAAGATCTGCATACTAAGAAGTAAGAACACTCATAAAATATGGATAAAGGAAGCTTCAGGGGATTCTTCCTCAAAGTACTAAAGGCAGTTGGCAAGATCCTGACTGTGCTGTCAGGATAATGAATGCTGAGAGGTCTCTGGAAATGACTGAGGAAAATCCGACCTCCAGCCTGCAGCTCAGTGAACTTGGAGTTCTGAGAGCTGTTTAGAAATGTTCAGATCCAGTCTAAAGTCATACGCTATTTTTAAGGTTAGCATTGAGGAAGGTTTGGTGGCAAGGAAAATAAGTGCCAATCCAGTTTAAAGGTTAGGTAGTCAGGGCAGCAAAAAGAAGGTTTTAGAGTAAAACATAAATGCAATGTAATCTGGGCAGAGGGGTTAGGAAGAAAAAGATAATGGATATTCCTCCTGAGACAAGCATGTCTATACTCCTGGGAGTCAACTGGGACTTACCATGTCCTTGACACTCCTTCCACCTGTCTGAGGAAGGCACAGGTGCCCTTTCTCACTCAATACAGGCTTATTCTTAGAATTTAGGGATCTGTATCCCAGGTGCTGAGATATGACGGTAAACATGTGAAAACTAAGTCCTGGGAGTGCCTCCAACTCCCTTGCCATGTGAGCATCTGTTTGCAGAGCTGGTCTACCCATCCAGATTCACCCAGGAGTCTGTGTTCCTAAAGGAACTCACTGTGCCACTTGGTGGCACCAAAAAGTTGCGCAAAGAACTCTTCTCTATAAATACAAACTACCACCCCTCCCTCCTCCGCTCTCTCCCCTTCCCCCCTTCCCCCCTTTCTCAGTAGCGGGGAGATTGCTGCACAAGCCGCCCTCAGCTCGGCTGTTCTGCGCACGCTGAGCGGAGGGGATGAGCTTGAGATCATCTTGGGGGGGAAGCCGGGGACTGGAGAGGCCGGCTCTGCCCCGCTGATCCCTGTGGCCCAACTTTTCGGGGGGCTAGCTAGACCGAGTCTCACTGCTTGCTGCGCAGCCAACAGGGGGGTAAGCTTGCTAAGTGTCTGTGTGCCCAAATGTTCCCTGGCCAGAGAAGGATTTAGGATCTATAAGCTTGCTGAGTAGCTCATAGTTTTATTGGGGGAGGGGGACGCGGGTGGAGCGGGGGTGGCCAAAGCCGACAAGATTCAAGTCTACTCCATTTGCGAACAGCCTTAATTAAACCTGTTGGGGAAAAAGGCGCGAGCAATGGGGTGAAGGAGGGAAGAGCTGCAAGGGTTGAAAAGGGGATTCTGCATGCCTTCGCATCCGAGTTCCCGCTCTCTAAGGCCAGGTGCGCGTGGTTTCGAATGCAGAGTGTGCTCCCGCAAACCACCCGAGGGCTCGGAATTGTGAGAAGCAAAGGTGGAGAGGGAAAGAGGACAGAGAATTGCTTTTCAATAGATCGGTTAGCGGTCGCATCCTGGCGCCTGCTGCAGGAAGAGGGGGGACAGCGGGTGGTGCTGAAAGCACATCTCTTTCACTCAGGCTATATTGCCTCTCTTTGAAACCAGCCTGAGCCCTCCCGCTCTTTCCTCTTCCATGGATTTGTCTTTCCCCTCGAACACAAAGCCTGCTAGTTATCCCACGGCGGGAGCATGATCAGCATGCCAAGGAGGAAGCCCAGGCTACAGCGACTTAGGGAAGAAAACCCAGGGCAGGCCCATGAGTGTGGAGGCTAGCCGGTGACCCGAGCCTAACATGCATTAGGACCTCTCCAGGGAAGTGACAGGTCCACCTGGAAGGCTCTTTCACCTGGTACTTGAATTTACAGCTGCCCTCATTTCCCTTCAGAGGAGTTGCTGTGTGGAAGGGAGATTTAGGAAAGGATAACAAGCGCTTGTGCTTATTTAGACACAATCTTGATGCTGCCTTAGTTGGACTGTAACATCGAGTAACCAAGCAGATAGGTTCTCCAACACTTTACTTTTCAATAAGCAATTGATACAGACCAGTGAAAAGGCAGCTTCTCCTATTCACCTTCTCCATTCGCTACATGGTATTTCATTGTTCAGAGTTTCTCAGGACAAAGCTAGAGCTAATTTGTGTCTCTAATGCTGGGCACTGGCCATTTGAAGCAGCCAAAGGTGCATTGACCAGGACTACGTGCAGCCCTTCCTCCAGTGGGACATAAGCAGGGGTTTTCTGTGGAAGTCGTAGTTGCATGACATTCTACTGTCAGCTATGGAGCGTTCAGGTATGCTACCTATTGTTAGGTGTGCTTTTTGCTGTTTTCTTTATGGAGTGCAGGGAGTTTTCTCCTTTAATTTCTCAGTTCCGTCAATGTAATTACACATGTAAGAATCCATTGTGGCTATTTCTGTCCTTTATGCATGTTTATTTCAATTTAAAAAGGCCCTTGGTTTGGGACTTGAAAATACTGCATCCTGATCTCATTGGGTTAGTAGTGTGTACCCCATCAATTTCCAGCCTTCTCCCCGTGAAACCTCGTCAGCACTCTGGACAGATCTTTCAAGCTTTCTTAGGAAAAAAATATACATAGCACTTCCTAAATATCAGCTTCTCTTAAGAGAAAAAGCTTTCCCTAGTCATTTACACTCCACATGACAAAATATACAATCTAGATATTTTAATTGCACCCCCTAGAGGTTTGTGCTATCACATGGGAATGTTTTGGCTGTGGGCTATACACTCACAAAAAGCCCAAACTCTTCAATGTTCACTTATGAAAGAATATGTCGAGATTATTTGGGAGAGGAAGATGGTATTTGAATAATCCAAGTTTTTCACTTGACTTCCATAGGTAGACACAGACCTTTACTATCACTTTGTAGTATACCTTATGGACATGATGACAAACACCCACGGGGAAATTGAAAAATTCACTCATATCTATTTTATCCAAGCAGCACAAACTATCCAGACTTTGGGAATACTTGATTAACTACATACCATTTTTAGTTTGGGTTCTGATCATTAATGTTGTTGTGTTTCATGATAAAATGACTTATATCATTAAAGATGCTCACTTTTGTGACTAAAGCATTTTAATAATTCTACTTTTCTTATTTCTTTCCAAAACCCATTTAATATTTTATAGGAGTCTTACTATATTGTCTTTTACAGAGTGATAATTTTAGTTAGAGAAACTAAATTAAGTGTCAATGAAAGGTAGGTGATACTACAAGCAGAAAATGTAAGATGAGGTTAATCATTAAAAATATTTTTTTGTATACCAATTTTATCCCAGGTTTTCTACCCTCATGGGATGAAGACAGAGCTATATCCAAATATTTTAACTTACACATACTTATTATATTATATATATGTACATGTGAGGTATTTTTATGTATATGTCTATAGGTAGATCATGTATGAACCAACTTTATAAAATATTAGATACTACCTTTATATATGTTGATATATATATGTTATATGATAAAGCTGATTTGGTTTGTATCAAGGTTGGATATATTGAAGATGTATTATTACAAAGCAGGAAGATTCTGCAGTTTAGAAATATGTGTTATATTCATATTCAGAGAAATATTAATTCTAGTCCTGATGCATCATTTAGTTGTCATTTTAGTCAGTGAATGAAGCTTAGGAGAACATAAGAAGACAGGAACATGAAAATAAATATTTTTAGTGCGTGATGTATTTATATAACCCAAGAAAAGAAACTTCAATTTTGATGTTTGAATTTTCAATTATTTGTAAATCAGATAATATCTTGTTATTCCTTTATCTTAGTTGTTTAAAATGTGTTTCTAAAAAGCATTAAGGCATAGGCTTGCTTTCATTTCCTTTAAATCCATAGAAAGGAGATTAAAATCTATATTTTACCAGTCCAAATCATATTTTAACTATATATAACTTTTGTCAAAAGGGCCACCAGGCAAAAGTCTTGGTGCAGACTCATCCCTGCGCTAATAACTACTATTTATTAAGCACATCAGGCATCATGCTAAGCACTAGGTATGTTATTTTATTTAATTATCATATCAACAATATAAGGCATTATTTGTTTTTCCTTTTCTGTTATAAAAACTAAGCTTTTTATTCTATTGTCAAAAAACAGTGCGTAGTTTATGCAATGTTCTCTGTGGGTCAGACACTTTATTTGTGCAATTAATTATACTCATTCAGTAACATGTACTGCTATAACCCATCCCCCATTTTGAAAATAAGAAAAAATATTTCACTCATATATATGTGTGTGTATATGTATATATGTATCTTTTACCATATATGTAAAAAGAGAGAAATAATGGGAACATATATACATATATATGCAAAAGAGAGAGATTTGATTTGTTTGGCACTAAAACTTACCCTGTTTCCATTGTATTGAGCTGCATTACTCTGTGGTGTGGCTAAACACTAAACATCATGGGATTATTTTATTGTGGTTGCCAGTGAGTTGTGGTATGATTGGAAGTACAGGTCCTGGCTTCAAATTGCCTGAGTTTGAATCTCAGCTTTGTGGCTTACTACTTATGTGACCTTAGGCAAGTTACTTAAATTTATGTACCTCAGTTTCATTATTTTCAAACTGGGGGATGGGTTATAGCAGTATATGGCATCGAGTGAATATGATGAATTAATTGCACAAATTTAAAAAAAATAGGTGCAGAAAACCACCATGGCAGACATAGACGTATGTAACAAACCTGCATGTTCTGCACATGTACCCTACATTTTTAGAAGAAATAAAGAGAAAAATAAATTAAAATTAAAAAATAAAGTGTCTGATCCATAGTGAACAGAGCATAAACTATCAATCCTACCCAGGCCTTTGGATGTCCAGTTTTCTGCGTTTCCTGTGTTATTACATTTAGTGTTCAACTAGCCTATGGATTGTGTTTTATTTTTATTTTTTGACTTTAATGATAAAATGTAATACTAAAATAGATTAAATAACTTGTCCAATGTCCCATGGTACAAACAAAGGTGACAGAGCAGGTATTTAAATCTAGGATCATCTGATTTCCAAACTTTTACTCTTATGATACTGACCTACAGCTTAGACACATATATCAATTTTTTGAATTCTACTAATTTTGAGTCGGCAGCCCTTCCTCTACAAGAGAATGTGCAAATGTTTATTTTTCTCATATATTCAAGAATATTTGAAAATGTGCAAATGCTTGAAGATAATCAGAAATCAAAATGATACATAATTGCTGTCTCAAATATCTCCTTTTTTAGTCAGACTGTAGAAGAAGTGTAAAGGAAAGACATATGCAAAAATATATTTTATGCATATATGATTTTTATTGGTCTTGCAAATATATCAGATTCAAGAAAAACTCTCTAATGATTAGCTGTTCATAATAATTCTGGTTCAGGTCATGGGTTTTAAAATTTTGAGTATAAATGTTCTGAGGAAAATGAAAACTTGTAATCACAATGATAATAGTGAGCACTTTAATAATGCAACCTTCTTACAGTCATTATATTTTACAGAAGAATGATAAAAATACTTTTTAAAAAATGATTTGTCTAAATGCATAGTAATGTAGAATTATTCAAAGATATAGAAGTAAATAATACACTATTATATCATTTGTTTAAAAATAAGTAAAATTTTAAAAATCAATGTGTAAATTACTTTATAAAGTTATCATTCTCTTGTTAAATTTATAATGAACTTTGCATTTCATATCAAAAGCAGCCTTTGAGTTTGGGAAGTATATTGTAGGATACTCTCCTCACATTCATTTCTTGTAATTTGTGATACTTAGAACTATGCATATTTAATGTAAGGCAATATAAACCTTGACTCTTACAGTTTAAATTTGTCTTTCTCAAATTGAAATTTCTACCTTTTAAACAAGATAATACAGACAAATAACTACATAAACATTGAGTAAGGAAGCCTATTTCAACCTTCTCTCCTTAGCATTATTTGGAAGTTTCAGGTAGAGGCTTTGTAAGACTGATGTGTCCTGATGATTGGCTCTTAGTTATGCTTTTCTTTCATGATTACGTCAACCTTGCCAGGATAACTTTAATGTAAATTAGTGTTTTTCAACTGGAACTGA